CGTAACCACGGAGGTGCAATTTAATATCCTCCAAGGAAGGCAGAGTTTCTTGCAAAAGTAGTTAATTTCTTAAGGAGTACTAACGGAACTGAGGCCCCAAAATATAAAATCAGGAAGGGCGGGGTGGACTCGGAGCCCTCCCTACATCCGGGGGCAGAGAGAAAACCAAGCCATGGGAGGCCCAGGCCCCACGGAACGCCGTCCCTGTCCGCAGAGGTTGCACTGGCCCTACCCACTTTTGAGCCCACTCTCCTTCCATGCTCCGGAGCTCAGAGATTTTTCCACTCACAGCAAGCGCACATGTAGCACCCTAGCTGCTCACCAGCTCCAGACAGATTCCCATGGAAACCAGCATCAAGGAGAGGCAGAGACAGGTGAGCTTTCTGTCCCGCCCTGGATGCATGCCAATCTCGGCCTCGCCCCCACCCTGCAGCTGGGGGCTGGACACAGCCCTGCCGAAACGATGCGTCCATTGTCCTGGCCCCTACGGAGGCCGGTGTGTCTAAGAGGACTCCCCGAGAAGACCTCCTGCTGTCGGCCGCCACCGTGGCAACAGGCTGCACGGAGCGGGCTCTGAAGTCGGACAGACCAAGCTGGAGGCCCCACCACAAGACGCAGATGTGGGGCGACCCTGAGCAAAGGCACTCAGCTCTCTGTGCCTCAGTTTCCTTGTCTTTTCAATGGGTCTAATGTTACTTACCCCACAGGGGTAGCGATGGGGATTAACTCATATAACGATATTTAGCACAGAGCCTGGCATTTAATAAGTACTTAATAAATATTAACCAATTTTATTATTAATTAGCTATTAGGCAAGTAAGTCCCTTAATCTCTCTAGGCCTCAATTTTTGTCCTCTATAAAATAGAGTGACATAGGGACAAGGTGGGACAACTAACTCTCGAAAGTCCCTTCCACCGTGGACGTTTTATGGTCCTATGCTTGTGTTTGGAGGGCAGAGGAGAAAGTGGTGTTACAGAACCCTAAAACATCTTCTTCCCGTAGTTTCCCGATCAAACTCTTCCACAAAGGCAAGCTCAACAGATGCCAGTTTCTTCTGGAACATACCCAGGGAGGGGAACTAGCAATGAACCTCCAGGGCTCACCCGCTGGCCTTACTAAGCCTCAACTTCCACATGTGTCGAATGGGACCGCTTCGTGGGGTTGTGGTGAGGATTAAACGAGCTTACTTTTGTAAGCTGCTCAGCGCAGTGCCTGGGCTCAGTGCCGGCTGATCACGGAAAGCAGTGGGACCACTCGCCAGCCCCGCAGGTGGTCGGGAGGGGGGCTCCCCCAGCCTGGGCCTGCAGCATCTTACCAGGCCGAGGTTCAGAGAGTTGTTGTCATCCTCAGGCATGGGCAGGTACACGGCCAGGGCCACACAGTTGGCAAAGATGGTGAGCAAGATGATCGTCTCGAAGGGTCTGGTGCCAGGGTTAAGGAGAGCCCTTGGGGGAGGCGTGGGGTTTGCAGGGTTCGGGGGCAGAGAGCGCTGAGTGTCATCTGGAATAGGACCCTGACATCAGGCTCCTGGGCGCTCTGCCCGCCCTGCTCCTTCCCTGCTCTCCTGCAGGGGACAGGAAGGGCCCGGCTCCCGCCTGGAGACCTGGGTCCCTCTTCTCGGGAGCAGGTAACTTCCACTCAGACCCTTTGGGACTGCCAAGGTCCGTACCGGCTCGGGTCTCCGGCTCGGGTCTCCGGCTCGGCTCTAAGGTCCAGGGAGCCCCGACACCGCTCGGCTCCAAGTGCCTGCCCACGCCCTTGGCCGCTCCAGGGAGCCAGGCTTCCCTGAGGTTCCGGCCAGACGCCCTGGGGGGCTCGCCCAGAGAGACAGCCAGGGAGGCTGGGGGTGGGCACGGGTAAGGCTGAGCACCCACCGAGCAGGTCAGGGAACGAGGGAGGGCAGAAACAGGACACCTGAATGTCCAGAGCCACGCGTTCGCCGGTGTGTCCTTGCTCACACACTCACAGCTCACCCCTCCCGGACACACCCACCCTGCAGGCAGATTCCGGAGGGCACCGCAGGCCCTCGCCTTCCTTATTATATATGTTTTTTAGACAGAGTCTCGCTCTGTTGCCTGGGCTACAGTGAGTGCCGTGGCATCAGCCTAGCTCACAGCAACCTCAAACTCCTGGGCTCAAGTGATCCTCCTGCCTCAGCCTCCCTAGTAGCTGGGACTACAGGCATGCGCCACCACGCCCGGCTAATTTTTTTAAATATATATTTTAAGTTGGCCAGCTAATTTCTTTCGATTTTTTAGTAGAGACAGGGTCTTGCTCTTGCTCAGGCTGGTTTCCAACTCCTGAGCTCAAACGATCCACCTGCCTCGGCCTCCCAGAATGCCAGGATCACCGGCGTGAGCCACCGGGCCCAGCCTCCTCGCCTTCCTTGACTTGCTGACCCATTAGAAAGCGAGGGTGGCAGGAGCCAGGCAAAGCGAGGGGCGGAGCTTGCGGCGTGTGTGTGTGTGTGTGTGTGTGTGTGTGTGTGTGTGTGTGTGTGTGTGTGTGTGTTTTGGGGGGCAGCAGACTACGTAGATGGGCTTGATTGAAAATTCCCATTTCCTCCCCAGCACCCTCCAGTGTCTGGGAAGAAAGGAGGGCCGCAGGGGCGAGGCCTGCCCGAGGAGCAGAGGATGGAGGAAGGCAGAACCCAGGGCAGAACCTGATCTGGCGGAGAGCGGCAGGGCGGGAGCCGCCCGCGAGGCCTTGGCGTGGCCAGGCGGGGAGCAGCTGCGGGGAGCGGCGCAGACCCTGACCCCAAACCGTCTCCGCTCGGCCCCGAGCTTCTCTTGCCTTGGCAGCAACAGCTGGTGGAGCCCAGGCTTCCGGAACCCTTGAGAAGCATTTCAAACATTCCTGCCCCTCGCCCCCAGCACACACTTGACTCAGGCCTCCCTCCCCTCGGCGGCTCCTTCCTCCCTTCCCCAAATAACCGAGAGATTTCCGTCATTCTTCCTCCCAGGATTGGAAGCCCCTGTCCCCAGCGTGGTCTGTCTGAGCCGAAACAGCCAGGCGTGGCGGCCAGTGTCTGGGGCCTCTCGGGGGAGGCCGTCTGTCCTCCAAGCCCGGCTCTCCCGGCTCCAAGCCCTGGGATGGTGCTTGCCCCGGCGGGAGCCTTCCCTGAACCCACCGCTACTTCCAAGCCCCTCGTCGAGGGAGGGTTTGCTCAGAGATGCCACCACTGCTTCTTTTTTTTTTTGGTCCCCATCCTATTCCAAAACGAGACTGTTGCTTCACAGCCCTAAGTGGCACCGTGACAATGTGGATTCAGGCACAGCTGGGAACAGTCCCCGTGAAACAGTCCCCTTCCACCAACGGTCGGTGGGCACCGCCGGCGGTTGCCCAGGACCTTGGCTGTCCACTCAGTGCCCGGGAACCCCACCCATTCCTCTTCTGCCCCCCCTCCTCTTCTTCCTCCCCCTCTGCCCCTTAGTTGAGAGCTCCGTCCCAAAGCCCCCTCATGCCGCTCTGTGGCGGCTCACCCCATTTCCAAAGTCCCCCGTCTCCCTGGCCCTCCAAGCGCGTGCGCCGACCACCCTACACCCCTTCCCAACATTACACCCACCCACCCCCAGTTCCCGGGCCGGAAGGATACTTCCATTCCACGATGCTGATGCAGGCCTTCCTCAGGGGGTTCTGCAGGGTCAGGCAGAACAAGGCCCGGGGAGGCCTCGGCAGAATCTCGGGAACCGGCTTCTTGGGCTGCTTCTTCCGCAGGCCCTCGTCCTGGGGTGAGGACGGCTCCATGGCTTCCCTGGCAACCTGGCTTTCTCCTGCTCCCCCACCCCACGGCCCTCTCTTCCCTGTGTCCCCAGTGCCCCTGCCTTGGGGACTGGGCCGGCGGAGCCTGCCCTGCTGAGCCAGCCGGGGCAGGGCGGGAGTGGGGGCAGGACGGGTAAAATTAGCCTCCCCTCGGCTCCCTGCTGCCCGCAGAGCTCCCAAGGCCAGGCAGCTGTCATGCCGTCCAGCCCAGCCAGTGACATCCCAATCTGTCCCCAGAGGAGGGTGGGGGTGGGGGAGGAACTTACACACAGGCCCGGGGTGGGCAGGGGCAGTAGGAGGCAGGATGGAAGGTTTCAGGTCGGGGCAATAGAGTTTAGGAGGGTATACCCTGAGATGCCGAGCCTCGGACTTCAGACCAGCCCCTCCCGCAGCCTGGCTTAGCCTGGCGCCACAGCACCCCACCCGGCTCCGCACCTGCCCCATCGGCCGAGATTCTGCCACCCTCACCCCAGCCCCTGCCAACCCCACGTCGGGGAAACAGTAAAGCCCTCCCCAACGGGGTCGAAGGCTCCCAGAGCAGCCCTGACTGCACAGCCCTGGCATAGCACCTGCGGCGCGGTGCACTGAACGTGCAGGGTTGTGCGCCTGCCCATTATCTCCGAGAGTCCGGCCTCTCCTCCGCACAGGCCCTGGCACATGCTAAGCTGTCTGTGCTAGCCGAGTGCGTGAGCTAGCAACACCCCTGCAGTGCTATGGGCTGGGAGTGGGGACGAGGAAGGGGCACCAGGGCAGGTGGGGGCAGACAGTGATCTAGGAATGACAAAACTCAGCAATGCTTTTATTTAGCTCTTTGGTGCCACCACAGTGCCGATGTACCCGAATCCCACCCCTCCCCGCCAGGGTTACAGGATGAGGGGAAAAAAACGCAGTCCCTACCCCCAACCTGGGAAAAAAACAAGAAGGCCCCACTGGGGGACGGGGGAGAGGGCCACCGCCCTCAGCGGAGGGAGCCAGCAAGCAGGGCTAGCCCATGCACCGCCTCTTCCCCTGTGTGGGTGCCGTCTGTCTGGGCTGGGCGCAAGCGGAGTGCGGCCTCACATCCCTCCTCTGGGTCCCTTCCTCCAGGGGCAGGCGAGCTCCTGCAGTCGCTAGGGTTTGAGGCCATCTCGCGAAGGCCTGGGGCATGGCACAAGCAAAGCCCAGCTTGCTTCCTGCGGAGGACTCCCAGAGACAAGGACGGACGCCCCTGCTGAGGGAGGGGAGCAGGGCCACTTGAGGCTAGCGGGAGCCAGGCCCGGGGACGACCGTCGGGGCCGCCCCTCTGTCGCCTGGAGGGTCTCAGCGTGCACCCAGAGCCTTCGCAGGCTCCGCCACTCTCTGCACCGTGCCCCTCGTGCCCCCTGCCCTGCACCTGCGCCCCACGCTGGTGGGGGAAGGAGGGTGTCGCAGACGCAGGAGCCCCGCGCACCTCCACGTGTCCGGGCCTGCGCTGCACCGCAGGTGGCCCGGCAGACCCACGCTGCTCCCCGTCCCACTCTCGGCGACCCCACCCCAAGCCGGGGGCGGCATGGGCCCGATCAATGGCTGGATTCCTCCGACTCAAAGAAAGGCGAGGAGGAGAAGCAGGAGGACTCGGAGGACTCGGGCAGCAGGGCGGGGGGCGCCCGGGCCTCGCGGTCGCCTGGGCGGTCTGGCCGGGAGGCGGCGGGCGGCGCGGGGCAGGGGGGCGGCGCGCCATCTGGTGCGGCGCTCAGCAGCTCCTGCAGGTGCTTGATGTAGCGGATGGCGGCGCGCAGCGTCTCCACCTTGCTGAGCCGCTTCTCGGCCAGGGCGCCGGGGAGGTGGCCGCGGAGGCGCGCGTAGCCCTCGTTGACGCACTTGACGCGCTGGCGCTCGCGCTCGTTGCGCTTCTGGATGAAGGCGGGCTCGAAGGGGTAGTCGTAGACCCCGAAGGCGCCGGGGAAGGGCACGTAGGGGAACACCCCCGCGTAGGCGTCGTAGTAGGGCGGCTCAGCGGCGTGGCCCGGGTACAGCAGGAAGGGCACGTTGCCCAGGGGCTCGGCGGGGGGCAGGGGCGCCTGCCGGGGAGGGGGCACGACGCCCAGCGGCATGCAGCTGGGGGGCCCCACCGGCCTCCGCTGCACCAGGGCCCGGCAGCAGTTACTGTTCATGGTGCCGCGTGCAGCTGGGCCCAGAGTGAGCCCACCAGGCGGCCCCTGCTTGGGGTGTGCGGGGTCCGGACTACAGGGGCGAGTCACATTGCCAGGAGGGGTTCTAGGGTCCGGACTACAGGGGCGAGTCACATTGCCAGGAGGGGTTCTAGGGGAGTGGGGTGCCAGGACTTGCTAGGGTGTCCAGTCGCCCTTTAGGGTGGCTTCCCTAAAGGACTCTCTGTCTCGAGCCATCGCCCTGGACAAGTGTGCCCCTCACAGGGGCTCAGCGAGCGCCCTCTCAAAGCCAGCCCGTGGGCGGGCCCCGCCCTCCTCCACGGCGCGGGGCAGCCGACCCGCCTCCTCCTGCGCCCGCCCGGGCACCCCCGGCGCCACTAACCCCCAGGCTCCATGCGGGGGGCGGGGGGCAGCGACGGCTGTTGCTCCTGGTGCCCTTCTGGGTCCCCCGGCTGTCCTGGGCGCCCAGACCGACGGCTGCTGTTAAGAGGGCGCCAGCTCCGCAGAGGAGGTCCCGGGGGACGTCTCTAAAGAGGGGAGAGTGAAAATATCGATTAGGAAAGGCCTGTATTAGGGGCTCCTTTGCGACACCCCCACCCTCAAATGGAGTTGTAGATTTCATGGGGCGGGTGGGACAGCGTACACCTGGGTTGGAAATCTTGAGTTCGCCCCCTAATAGTTGCCTGACCTTGTGTCCTGGTTTCCATCTCTGGAGACAGTGAAAACACCCTTGGCTCCTAGGAGGGTGATAAGATGCAGGAAAATATATCCCCAAACACCTGCCGCGCCTAGCTTATAAAAATGTCCAGTGCTGCCACTTCCTTCGAGAGTGGGAATGACGTCTCATCACTGACACCTTCCAGCGCCTTCCATCTCAAAGGGGCTCAGAGTCTGCCCACGAACCAGCAGCGGGGGTCCCAGCAGCAGCCACCGCCAACCGAGGAGGAGTCTGGCTCTTTACTGAAGGACATGCATCTTTGACGACACGGAACTCAGGTGTCGCTGGGACGTTCAAAGCCCTCTGCCTGGCAGAGGGACAGTCACCAAAGCTCCCCCTGCCCCAGCCCACCTGGGCCCAGCGTACACCCTCTCATGTCATGGCACTTAACGGGATTCCTCTATTCCGTCACCTGTGTGAGCCCAGAGCTCAGCCCAGCCCGCGGCGTGCACTAGACACTTGTCAACAAACACGTGTTGAGTAGCTGAGAGGGAGGACGAGGCAGAAAGCTGGGCTTGTCAGGGTGGGGCTGAATTACGTGCAGCCTGCCCTAGGCGTCAGGAAGCTGTCATTTCAGAAATGATTGGTCTGTGTTGAGTCTAAGTGCCACCAAGCCTCATCCCCTGTGGTTATGGGATCCAAGTTAGGTGTCGTTTCGTCTAGGAAGCCTCTCTCTCTGATCCCCCCTCTTGTGTGTGACCCGTGTCCCATACATTGCATCTCGGCACCCACCACACTATGTTATTGTCCTCCTCTTCATCAAAGGTGCTCGGCGTTCGTGAGCGAGTGAGTAGTGGGCGGGTGCTGCGTCCCACAGGGACAGTGACGGGCCTCGTGAGGCCGGGGACACCGGGCAAGGCCTCTCCAACAGCCAGACGGGGGCCAGCTCTCTCCCTGACAGGGGGAGGCGGGGGACAGGCCCAGATCCCTGAACCTGTCTCCCGCACCCTGTCACCTTTGTCCTCTGTGCAGGCCTTGGGTCCCTTCCCGGCCAGCTCTGTCCTCTATGATAAATGCAAACCAAGAACAATCAACAGCAACTCTAAGCACCACGGAGGCTCGGCTGTGCTCTCAGAGGTGAAAGCCAATGTGTGAGACACCAGGACAGGTGCACGCGCCCCTCCTCCTCCCAGCAGCCGTCAGGGGCTCCCTGTTGCTTTCAAGAGAAGGTTCCCGGAGATCTCTTTCCATAGGTTGGTCTCCTCCTGGTACTCTTTGCCTGTTCCTGAGCTGACTTCACACCGTAGCTGGTGCTGGCTCTGGTCTTGGGGGCCCTCCCTACGCCGCTCGGCCACACCCTGTCCTGCCGCCTTCAGATTCCAGCTCCGGCCACCCTGATTGCCGGAGCTTCCCAGCTTCCGTGCCAGCTTTCTAAATCTTCAACCAGACTGTAAGCAACCAGAGGGCAGGGAACAGGCCGTTTCTTCCTTAGGTAATACCCCTCGATCCTTTGCTCAGTGCTAGGTCCATAAAGGGTGCTTGGAATCATTTCCTAGTAGCGTTTTTTTTGGTAAAAATTTGGGATCCAGACTGTCCCATGGGACCCCTGTCTATTCGTATTTGACTTAATTATCTAAATTTAATTTGATAGAGGTCAGAGGTTTACTTACATCTACATGACAATTTTAATAACTACAACTTAATATTTGTTCATGTTGATTCAATATTCATAACTTATTTATGTTTCTCATATACTATTTATACATTTTTAATAAAACTATTCAGAGAGGTGACTTAGGCAAGAAACCCCACAGTTGGACCACGTATTTCTTAAGCCAGTTCTGTCTTTACTGTTAGAAAAAAGGCGATAACCTGCCAGGGAGCACAGGTGAGAATACACCTGCAAGTGAGTCCTCTACCCCATCGCAGAACCTGAGGGACTCAGTGTGGCACATTATCATTAAGTGGCACGATAGTCATTCGGTAAGTATGTAATGATGGCCTGCTAAATACAGGGACTGTTTTAGGCACTGGAATAGAACATTAAGCAAGCATTGTAGTGAAATAATAGCAATGATAATGATCACTATCACTGATTATTTATGATGTGTGAGACACTGTGCCATACATGAATCATCTCACTGACTCCTCGCTCTGTTCCTGTGAGGTAGGTGTTAATATTATCTAGTTTTACAAGTGGGAAAACTGAGGCTTAACCCTAAACAAGGACCTTGGGAAAGTGACTTAAACAAAGCCACTAATTCATGAACTAATGAATGCTAATCGCCCACACTCAGCTTCCTCCCCTTCCCCCCGTATTTCTGCTGGTGGCTTCACCTCTGACCCAAGGATCAGAGAGCTCTGCACCGACCCAACACAAAGGTCTTATTAAATTATAACTCCCGTTGGAAGGGAGGTCCCACTGCCGATTAAAAGTATTGTGCCCAAAACCTAAGTGGACATATCGGAATAACATCTATCGGGTGTCGGGCAGGTGGTGGGGAGGGGACAGGTATATACATACATAATGAGTGAGATGAGCACCAACTGGGGGTGGACACACTTGAAGCTCTGACTCCAGGGGGGCGGGGAGCAAGGGCAATATACGTAACCTTAACATTTGTACCCCCATAATATTCTGGGAAAAAATGTCGTGCCCTTGTGTAGCCTCTGCTCTGGTAAGAGACATACTGCAGGTCACCTTGGCTATCCTTGGGAAGGTAACACCTTGAAGATGTTCTTAGGAGGATGGACTATGGAGTTTTGCTGGTGGGAAGATGAGAATGGGGGTGTAATTAGACTGAATCAAGCACCAGGAGCTGTACCCCTGGGCGCCTGATGAGGAGCCCCCTTGCCTGAGTTTAGGAAACCTGAGCAGACAGGATCTATCAGTCTCTATCGGAGACTCCATCCGCTCAGGTGGGGGACTGGGCAGAACCAGTTGTCAACAGTGCCACCGTGTGGTGGTGAGAAGCAATGGCAGGAAGCAGGTCAATGAAATTCCAGGTCTGGACCCCATCCTCAAATACTGCGCACAGAACTATAATCGTCAAATCTGACTTCCAGCACAGAAGGTAAGTTGCCAGTGGGGGTCTCCTGGGCCTCTTCCCCAATGCCTTGCAGCATGTCCTGTGTGCCCACCAGGGTCAGCCCCTCGTGGTCACCAACTGTCCGCACCCCTAAGGCTGGCCCATTAGCATAACGTGCTAATGGTTTCACATGTGTCCCCTGCAGATCCTGTCCAGGCCTCTCCTGGGCGGCCGGTGTTCACGTGGCCCCATCTCCCCCATGACCCTGGCCCTCTACTCGGTGTGGCCAACAGGCAGCCTGCGAGCCCCCTTCTTCCAGGGAGCTCCCTGCCGCTGCCCCAACCCAGGCTGCAAACTTGTAAGTGCACGAATTCCTGCCCCGTGCTCCTTTGAGACACTCGGTACGGGCTCAGTAGATGGCTGTTGACTGACACTGGCGGGAAGCCCTGGGGGGGCTGAGCTCGCATGCATCAAGCAGAGGCGGGTGTGAATCTGGAACAGGCCGGACGGTTTGAAGAGCAGACGACATAACTCTACCTCTTTGGTTTCTCTCGATGTCTTCTCTGGGACTGGGGCCAGAGTTGGGAGTTTGGGGTCAGAAATCGGCTGAGCGTGTCCCTTCCAACAGGGAGCCCACAGCGGTGGGAGGCAGCTTGAGGAAAGCGAGTTCGTGGTCCTGGAGCTCCTCCCGCCTCTCGGGAGATTGCTGAGAGTCCATCAGTTCAGGACAGTGCTTTTTGGTGGCAAGGTGAGGATCAGTTTTATCTTATGGTAAGATTTGTCCACTGAGTCGCATCAGAGCAAGAGTCCAGATGTCCCGGCTCCTGAGCCATAGCCACCCTTCCTACCCCGGGTTTTGGAAACCTCTGGTTGCTCCCAAGGGACTGTGTGCAGCCACTTTCCCCAAGAGAGAAGCACTGCGGAGCTTCTTGTTTTTGTTGTTGTTGTTTTTTTTTTTTTTTTTTTTTTTTGAGACAGAGTCTCGCTTTGTTGCCCAGGCTAGAGTGAGTGCCGTGGCGTCAGCCTAGCTCACGGCAACTCCTGGGCTCAGACTCCTGGGCTCAAGCGATCCTCCTGCCTCAGCCTCCCGAGTAGCTGGGACTACAGGCATGCGCCACCATGCCCGGCTAATTTTTTCTCTATATATTAGTTGGCCAATTAATTTCTTTCTATTTATAGTAGAGACGGGGTCTCGCTCTTGCTCAGGCTGGTTTCGAACTCCTGACCTCGAGCAATCCGCCCGCCTTGGTCTCCCCAAGTGCTAGGATTACAGGTGTGAGCCGCCGCGCCCGGCCCCACTGCGGAGCTTTGACCTG